ATCCCCATTTTACAAATGAGGAAATGAAGGTCAACAGAGCTTAAGTGACTTGTCCAAGGTCATACAGCTAATTAATGTCCCAGGCCAGATTTTAAACCAGGTCTCCCCGATTCCGGGTCCAGGGTCCTATCCACTGCATCTCTTAGCTGACTGTAAAACAAAGGGACTGGATTAAATTCCATTTCAACTCTAACACTGTTATGTTCTAACACCTTGTGTTCCGAAGTCTCTTCGACTTCTAAATCCAGGATCCTAAGTCAGCCAAGGGCCTTCATGACAAATGTCTAGACTTCCAAGGCACTCACCATTCCTCTTTACTGTTTCCCTTGCTAATATGTGACACAGAGTGTCATAATCCACCTTCCCTCCTATCTCAGTCAAGAAGAGCCTGTCTACCTAGACAACATTGGGGTGCCCTATAAAGCATGCAGTATTGGGAGTCAGAAGACCTTGGTCAAATCAGAATGGGATGTTTACCAGAGAGAAGAGAAGCCTGGGAGAGAGAGAAGATAGGAGGGAGAGATAGCTGTCCTCAAAGGCTGTCACCTGGGGAGGAGGGATTAGACTTTTCTTGTTTGGCCCCAAAGGGCAGAACTAGGAGCAATTAGTCAAAGGTGCAGAGTCCAATTTAGGCTTCATGTCAGGCAAAATCCAGCAATCAGAGCTGTCAAAAGTGGGAGAGGCTGCCTCCAGGAGAGCTGAGTTCCCTCGCCTTGGAGGTCTTCAAACAAGACCTGGAGACTTGTCCTGGATGTTCTCAGAGTAGAGATTCCTGTCTAATGATTAGCCTGCTTTTCCCTTCTTTTTCCTCCTAGAGAATGTATTTATAACACCTCTGATCTGTTCTTCTATTTAGACTTTGAAAGACAAGTATTACACCCTAGAAGGGCAATAAAGATGATTTCCAACCCACTGTGGGGCAAATGTGGTAACCTACCATTGTAATATAGCCTGATAGAATTTTCAAAAAAAATTCCATTTTGGGGATTCCTTCTTTCTGTGTGTAGGTTGGACTAAATGGCCAATGGGGTCCCTTAAAACTGTCAAATTCTGTGAAATATCAATTCTTCCATTTATTACATGTTACCTTAGACAAAGCATTTAATCTCACTGTGCCTCAGTTTCCTTCTTTGTCAAATGAGAAGGTTGGCCTAGATGATCACTAAGACATCTTTGAGCTCTGCATTCCATGAACATCTCTCCTCTCCTCTCCTTTGAGCTCAACCATAAAAGACCATTTTAAGAACCAGAGGCATAATTTACATGGCATAAATCAAATTAGATAATATTTGTAAAAAGTATTTGGCATAAAGAAAATACTAAATACATGCTTATTCCTCTCTTCTTCCCTAGAATGGAGACTGATTTGCATATCTTTGCATCATTATACAGCAGTCACTGACCATAATAGGTAAGAAAGCACAAAAAAACAAAACTGCCATTTCATTCATGCCAAACCAGTATTTATTAAGCATGTTCTGAATGTCTGGCACTCCACTACATCTATGGGGGAGGGGGTATGAAACAAACAAAAAAAAAGTATAAGGTATATATTTCTCATCAGTAAGGACTTAACTTTTTCATTACAAAAATATGGGGAGAATCTCTCTTGATCTGATCCCTGAGTTTATCCAGACTTGAATGAATGGAGAGTAGTAGCCTAGGAATTATTCACTTCAATTCTCCAAAGAGGAAACTTACTCCCTTCCTGTGCTGTTAATGACATTGCCATACATTTTTTGAAAGAAGGATGACATTATGGAAGTCACTACTGCTTAATGATTTTGTTTCCCAGGTCCGAAAGCACTCAATTTTTTTTCTTTTAAAAAAAAACAAAATGTATCTGTTTATACTACAATCGTGGGGGTTACCACACTTGCCCAATGAAGGTGGATTGGAAACCATTTTTATTGCTTTTCCAAGGGTGCAATGCTTGTCCTTCAAAGTCTAAACAGAGGGGGGATCAGAGGTGTTATAAATGCATTTAGGAAGAAAAAGAAAGGAAAAGGGAAAAAAATAACAAAGCAGGTCATTAAACAGGCTGAGCTACAGATCCAAAAAATCAATTTTTTCTACCATTCTTTATGCAACATTAATAAGTCCATATCCTGTATAGTTTCAACATTTTATGCTATAGGGCTAAGAATTAGGAAATTTTCTTTTAAATCTCTATTTATTAGACTTTAATCCAAGTAGGAATGTGGGGAAGGGAATCTCAAAGAAAATAGTGGTTTTGTATACAAAGACCTCATACAAAAACACATTTGGAAATCAAAGACATTCTCTCTTTCTTCCCCTTCCTAGTCCCCTCCAAACGAGAATATGAAATTTTGCTGAGTCCAAGGCACTCAGACTTTTACTGTAACTCGATTTTTAAATGCTGTACTGAGAGGAGAAAAAAAGCATACAACCCTTCAAACTACTAAATTCAAAAGGGAAACAGCCCAGTAACCACAAACCGTAAATCTACAGCTGAAAGGGAACAAAATATAGGATTCTTTATGTTCAACTGGAACCTTGCAGGAGCAAAGAATGGGACATTAGCCCCCAGGAATGATCAACTTGGAGGATGCTCCAGGAGAATAAACAGGGGGGATGGCACAGATCACCTAATGCTCAAACAGGATTACCCTCTCAGAAATTTTGGATGGGAACGGCTGAATGGGAGGAACCAAGCCCTGACTCTGGATTAAAAAGAACAAAGACAGGGGAAAAACTCCAGATGTGAACACTCCCAGATTGTGGTGGGTTGGCTTGGGCAGGGAAGCGGAGGATTCTAAAAACTACAGACACTGGAAACACCCATCCATCTATCCCCTCAAAAAGTAAAAACACAGCCTCTACCACTGGATCTCAAAACCCTTTCCCAGTAATTAGAAAATCCCTCTGACTCAAATAAACATTTGGTTTGGCAACAGGGTGAGGTGGCTTGAGTTGAATACATATGTATGTATGTATGTATAAATATGTGTGTATACACACACATTCACATATTTCAGAATGCAGCATGAATCAACCTCAATCTTTAAAAAAAAAAGTACTCAACAGTTCAACATCTATAAAGGGCAAAAGAAGGTTGTGATGGTAGGGGTGGCTTTTGGAAGGAATTATAATCCCTCTCCTTCCAAGGACCAGCTCAGTAAAGTAGATTTGGAATTCAGAGGCTGAGTTGGAATCTCAGCTCTGCCACTTACAACTTGTGTGACCTTGGACATGTCACTTAACTTCTAGGCCTGAGGTTTCCTAAGCTAAAAAAATAAAGGGATTAGGCTAAATGGCTTCTGAAGTCCCTCCCAGCTCTTCTTATCTATGATCCTGCAACTAAAATAATTTCTAGCAAGCAGAGTCTCACTGCAGATCATGCTTTATGAAAACAAAGTCCTCTGCAAAGTCAGATTCCCAACAATTTGATTTGAGGTTTCCCTTCCATAATGAAAAAGATGGAGGGAGGATGGTTAAAGATACCATAAATAGGGAAAGGAAAAAAAGCACCCCTCTGGGGCGGCGTGTGTTTTAAGGCTGGGGAGGGAGTGTGTCTGTGTGAGTGTTTTAAGCCTGGTTTGGTGGGGGGGGACCCTTCCCGAAGTCCATTTAACTGAAATGAGCTCTGGCCAAACCTTTACTGTTCATTAGACAAAAGCCGATCTAGAGTAGGTACAACAGCAGCAAACGAGGGGCATCGCATAACACACCCACGCACACACAGAGCTTTCCAAACCTGCCCACTCTCTTTAGGAGACCTACTTTTAATTGAACACGACCCACCCAGAGCTGCTGAGGCAAAACAAAGCGGACCACAGCCAAAGAACTATCCCTAAACATAGATTTAAAATAACAATAATAACAATAATAATAATAACCACACCACCCCACCCCACCCACTACGCCTTTAAGCATCCCCTTTGCAGCTGGCTTCATCTGGTGGAGTTGAGCAGGGATGGCTGGCAAGCTACTTCTTCCACGGGCTCTAAAAAGGTCAGGTTTGCCATCCCTTCCATGGGGGAAAAAAAAAATACTGTCCTTCAATCCTTTTCATGTACAAGGTAACCTTTAAAGTGGTTACATCAGAATATTAGTTTTTCTTTAAAAAAAAATGGGGCTGGGCTGGTTGGATACGCTTGCACTCAGACTAGAAAGGAGACGCCTTTCTCTTTTCCCTTTTTTTTTTTTTTGAGGGGGGGCGTGGTAGGGGGAAGAAGACCCTGGGGAGAAGGCTATTAAAGGGTGCACTGGGAACTTTTGTAAGACTCCCAAGGGTAAAGTGAGGGCAGGAATGCCCAAAGCACACAAACATGCACAGAGGCAGCTTTGGAACAGATTAATTACCCAGCTAATTTGCTCGCCTCCTAGAAAGAGAAAACGGCCAGCTTTTTTTCCCCTCCATTCCTCCCACAACTCTGCCACACTAGGTAATGACCGGGGCAGTGTCACCGGTCACTACCCTGCTATCCTCCCCTCCGCCCTCCGCCTCCTTCCATCATCAGCATCCTCCGGGATACAGGTTTGGTTTGCAGGTGACTGACTGCCTTGCCCTCCCCTCAGGAGTCCGCGCGCTCACTAGGTCCTTTACAAGTGCCAGAATGCAAAGACAATAGCAAAACTTGGAGCTGAGGAAAGCAAGCGCTTGTCCCAGAGGTGGGGCGATGATGGCACGGGGGCAGTCACATTCGAACAGTCCCTAGACTCAGAAGGTGGACCCTCTTAGGCTGTTAGGGGCCATCCTTTTCAATTACAACCATCGCCCAGCAGGAACAGCTTAAACGAGCAGAGCCTTCCCCCAGGAAAGGGCTATAACTAACCCAGCCCCCGGCTCGTGCAGGTGGGGATAGGAAGGCACTGGGACGGATTGGGGGGTGGGGACCCTTCCGTACAAGGATGAAAGGAGGGATGTGTCAAACAGCGCGGGTGCAATTTCCCCAGCTCCGGCTAAGGGCTCCCGAAGGGGGTGGGCAGGGCAGGGAGGGAGCGCTTGGCCACCAGCTCCCCTCCCCAATTCTTACCTTCATGTCGCTGATAATGGTCTGGAAGAGCCCTCCCAGAGCACTGCATTCCTTCTCAATCACAGCCTCCATTTTCCCAGCTCGGGCACACAGACGGGCAGCGAAAGCGCTTCGATTCCACGCCGCCTCCGGCTGCTGCTCAGCTCGGCAGCGTTGGGTTGGGGAGGCTTGGGGGTGCTTTTTCAAGCCTTTTAAAGTGATTTCCAAAAAAAAAATAAAATAAAGAAGTGGAGGAGAAATCGCCTGGTGACCTGAAGCCCCTTCCGCAAGAGAGGGAAAAGGGGTCAATAATCAGAGATCTAATAATTATTTTTTTTAAAAAAATGAAAACCCAGTTCTTTACTAATGCTTATTCCCTACACGCACCGTCTAAGGGCTCCTAACCTCAAAAAGGACCAGAGATGGAAAATCAAGCGACTATTCTTCCCCACAAAGGTAACAGCAAAGCCCATCTTGTTGCACAGACAGTCACCCCCTGACTCGGGATCAACTCCATTCGAAAACACTACCAATAATAATGCTTTAAAAATAATAATAAGGGTAAATAACTCCAAAGGTCTTTTCGGGTGCTGTCTAAGGGCAGAACGGCAGCGGTTCGCAAGCTAGAAGTCTACGGCGATCTGCGGCTTTTGTAACCCCGGGGACTCCCCTGGCACTGCGCTGGAAACCCGCCCCCCCCCGTATTCACGCGGCTCCCGCAGCCGCTCCCCAAACCTAGCTCCTGCCCCTTCGGCTCCGGCTCCGGCACTGGCTCGGGCTCGGCTCCGCCGCCAGCTAGACGTTCCAAGAGGCGCACGCGCGCGCTCCCGAGGCTCGCCGCCGAGCGGGGGTGAAGGGGCCTGGGCCTCTCTGGGCCGAGCTCTGCCTGCCTGCTCAGGCGGGCGGGGTTTGGAGCGTTGGCCCGGGAGGCGCGCACGGGCTCCCCCTGCAAAGGAAGGGAGCGGCTGCGCCGGCGGTTGGAGGTGCGGGGTATGCGTGCTGCGCCCCCTCCCTCCCTCTCGTGGCTGGGCCGGGTGTAGGGTGCGGGTTCGTATTCAGGAGGATACTCGTTCGCCGCTTCCCCACCCCCGGGGCGCCTTTCCAACGTAAAACAGCGGTGCGAGCTGAGTTGGGGGAGGGGGTGGGGATTGACACCCTCTTTTAAAATAACAACAATAAAAACAAAAAACCCTTGGGCTCCACGGCTGTGTAAAATGCACCAGCTCCGGGAAATTGCATGCTGGGCCGTTCAGTGAGGTTGCATCGGCTTTTATGGAAGAGGCCTAGTTTGTGATGTCATGACTGCAATGCCAAGTCATGATTGCAAATTATATGTATGTGCGTGTATATATGTGTATATATATGTACATGTGTTATACATACATATATGCGCATAATATATAGTTTGTATGCTGCATATAATGTTATATATTGTATAACATCTAATTTGCGATCGTGATGTGTATACACGTATGTGCATATGAGTGTATGTATGTGCATGCACGCATGCATGTATACACATACATATAAATGCGTGCCCATATACACTGCATTATACGTGTGTCTACACATACAAAGTGTGTGCTTGTATCCACCTTGGCATGTGTACGCATGTGTGCGTACACATGCGCATGTATCTGATGCGTGCAGTTTTATAATGTGTATATGCATGTGAATGTATAGCAACAGAAGGCAGAACCTGCATGATGACGCTGCGTCTGGTGGAGTTGTGTCAATGCCCAGAAAACCTATTGATCTAACATTGAGACACAAATTGAGAGCGCGCTGAAGCCTCAACCTGCATGGTTTCCAGGACTGCCCAAGGGGAGAAGAGGGCAGCCTGGAGCAACTTGAGAATAGGAACCGCTCCAGGGCCTTCTTCCTACCCCCAGCCTTGGTACAGTGACTAGCACCTAGGAGGTGCTTTATAAATATGGACTGATTTTAGAGAGAATGATGACAGACCTTTCTAATATAGTAGTGCTTTGGGGGCTACGAAGCCCTTTCTATAGATTATTTTATTTGATCCATTACAGCAACGGCTCTGCATTTAGAGTCAGAGGGCCTATCTGGTTGAAATTGTAGTTCTACTTATTACCTGATGCCCTTAGGCAAGTTACAACTTCTCTGGGCCTCAGTTTACTTTTCTGTAAAATAGGGGTTGGTGGGGGGGGTGTACTCAATGACTTAGAGGTTCTTCCCAGATCTAAAGTTAAATTTCAATTAAATTCAACAAGCATTTCTTAAGTGCCTGTTGTATGCCAGGCACAGGGCTCAATGCTGTAAATACAAAGAGAAGAAAACATTTCCTGCTCTCAAGAAGCTTACTTTCCATCACACTTTAACTTTACTCTAATTTTTAGGAAATTTGCCTTATAGCAAGCCTAAATTTGTCTTCCTACAACTGCCATTTTGGTCTGGGAGGCCAAGCAAAAAAATCTAATCCCTCTTTCTGTAATGGCCTTTCAAACACTTGAAGACCACAGTCGTCTCTCCTGAGCCTTCTCCAAGCTGAAGGTTTTCAGTCTTTCATTTCATCCTCATTGATCATGCATGCTGGACCTAGAGTCAGGAAGACCTGAGTTCAAATCTAGCTTTAGACACTTAAGAGATGTGTGACCCTGGGTAAGTCACTTAACCTCTCTCTACCCCAGTTTTCTCAACTTTAAAATGGGATAATAGCATGAAGTGATATATATATGTAAACTGCTTAACACAGTGCTGGCATGCTATGCTAAGCACTTATCTATGTCTTTCCTAAAATGTGGCATCCAGAACTGAACATGATACTCTAGATGTGGTCTGACCAAAGCGGAGATTAACAAAACTATCACCTCCGTATTCTTCTATTCGTAGGAAGCCATCCATCTCTTAATTCTGCCCAAAACAGTATTAGGTTTTTAGGCTGCTGCATCACCCTGCTGACAAGCATTGATTCTTTGGTCCACTAAAAGAGTGAAAGGAAAGGAAATAAAGGAATAACCTCCTTTTGCCTCAGTTTCCTCATCTGGAAAATGGGTATAGTATTAACACATTCCTTTCAGGGTTATTGTGAGGATAAAATAAAATAATAATTGCAAAGCATTGTGCTAAGTAAGGTAGGTGCTGTTGTTATTCTCATGTTACAGTTGGAGAAACTAAGACAGATTAAGTGATTTGCCCAGGGTCACCCAGTTAGTTAAGTGACTGAGGCCAGATTTGAACTCGGGTCTATCCTGACTCCAAGTTTACGGCTCTATGCACTGTGCCACCCAGTGCTTCTAAAAACCCCAGAACTTCAGATGAATTGCTTCCATGGCATGCCTCCCCAGGAAGACCCCGGAATGACAGTCAGTGGTTTAGAGACTGAACTAGTGGCAGATTGAATGAATGAATGAGCATTTATTAAGGATTTACTGTGTGCTAAGCACAGTGCCAATAATGAACGAATCAAGTCGTGTTTTACATTTGCAAATGATTGTTGATTGATGCTTTTTTATATGTAACCCTTCTCTCCACCAGACTGGAATCCTACCTAAACTGGAGCACTAGATTAGATATAGTTGAGAAGCATCCTGACAATGAATAGAGAGGATATGGATTCTAGAAAACCTGAATTCAAGTCTTGCCTCATATCATCAAGCTGCATACACCTCAGCAAGTGATTTCAGCTCTCAATTCAATCATTTGTTTTTGTGTTGGGTTTTTTTTTTCATTTTTTCAACTCTTCGTGACCCTTATTTGGGGTTTTCTATGAAAAGATATTGGAGTGATTTCCCATTTCTTTCTCCAGCTCATTTGACAGGTGAGGAAACTGGGGCAAACTCAGTTAAGTGACTTGCCCAGGGTCACACAGATAGTAAGTGTCTGAGGTGGGATTTGAACTCAGGAAGATGAGTCTTTCTGACTCCAGGCTCAGTGCTCTATGTACTGTGGTGCCACCTAGTTGTCCTACCTCTCAATGTCCACCCCCCACCCCTCAATGATTCTCTAATACTCTAAATTGAAAAGCAATAGTTGAGTGTCATTCCCAGTGGGAGTTTCCTCACTGTAAATTCTCTGTGAAGGTATGATCACTGATCTGTACTGAAGGCAGAATGGTTTAGATCCCTGTATTCCAAGTTCTCTTTCACTAGAGTCTTAAGAGCTTGGAGGGATTTGGTCTCTGAAGTTTGGATTCAGTCAAAGGGCTGCACTTGAGGAGCTAGAGGGCCACATGTGGCCTTGAAGTCACAGGTTCCCCACCCCTGGCCCTGGAGCTAGATAGAACAAGCAAGCATCTCAGACGCTATCAAAGGATCCTAGCAACCTTGTTATCAGAGGACCAATTTAGCCATTCTCAGCACAAGGAGATGGTTAGTTTGGGCCACCAGGACCCACAAATACCACCTACTAGATGGAAGGGTTGCAATCTGTTTTAGTGGGGAGACCACCTCCCAAAAATCAGGAACCCTTTAAGTATTAAAGCTTCTATTTAATTCAAATAGTATTCTGAAATTAATTTTCTAGGGTCTGTTTTTGTTTTATTTATCAGCAGCTGCACCAAAATATTTACTAAATTCTGCTTTAATCTCTTCAATTACTACAAGTGTGATCACAGACACTGTGATGTTTCAGATTTCTCAGCGCATGATTGTTATTAGTAAGAAGGAGGCTCAGGCCTCCTGCCATCTCCACACCTGCCTTCAACCCTCTGCCACCTTGCCCAGATAATAACAGTGGGGTTTGTTTCCTCAGCCCATAATCAAGGAACTGGGGGGGAAAGTTCTTTAATCCCATAAGAGCATTTTCCACTGTTCTATAATTATAAGTCTTGCTTCAATTATGAAATGAAATAGGTATTTCTGGGTCCCGCCTCTCAACCACAAATGAATATTTTCATTCAAATCAGATTGAAATGGATAAGTTTTAAAAGGCCTAAAAATGAGAGCTCCCCCTCCCTGTGGATTGCCATTGGCCTTTCTCTAGCCCTCCATCCAGGCCATTTAAGCATAGGAGAGAACAAAGGGAGGAAACTCTTTTCATTGGCATTAAACACCAGACCTGGGGGTTTGGGAGGGGTGGTCAACAATGTGTGAGCCCAGGAAAACCTAAACACTCAGATTCATTTTGTGATAGTAAAAGGTCTGGCACTGACAGCCCCCAAGCCCGAAATTCGGCCTTTATTTAACTAAACATTTTAACTGCCCATGGTCCCTCAGAAAAGAGCATTCTATCTGATGTCAGACAACCAAGTTCAATGTTAGAGAACCTTGGTTGCGATCCCAGCTCTGCTTATGGACAAATCTGTGACTTAGCAGGAAAGAAAGCTGAACTTGGCATCCCTGGACCTGCCTGGGAATCTCAACTCTTCAGCTTACTACCTATGAGACCTTGGGAAAGTCTCTGAGCCTTTCAGCCTCAATTTCCTCATCTGTAGGATGGGGGCATTGGATTAGATAACTTTGAAAATCGCTGTCAGTTGTTGATTCATGATCCTAAATTATTAATCTCACTAGGTTTTAGTTTTTTTGCTTGTAGCCGACAGACTGAACAATCCCTAAAGTCCTTATTTGATTCCAATGCTCTTGAAAGGCTATGTCAGGGAATGAATCCACATGATCCTTGAATCTCTTAGCCAGCCCTGCTTGGGAAAAACTGGAACACCATGTATTTGTCTATTCAAGGCAGACCGGTGACACAATGGATAGAGCGCTGGGCCTGGAGTCTGGAAGACCTGAGATCAAATCCAGCCTCAGACACTAGTTATATGATCCTGGGCAAGTCACTTTAAGTGCTGTCTGCCTCAGCTTCTTCAACTGTAAA